CCAGGCTCCGCCCCTGGTGCCGGTACCCCCCCGCCCAAGTACCCCTGCGGGCTGCCTCCTCCATCCTCCGGGCCCGGCCCAGCCCTGCCAGAGCCACAACCGGCCGCCCTGGAAAGAGGTTTCCTCCATGCACATCATTAGGCTTCAGAGTGAACGCCCCGCGGCAACTGAGGGGCGGCAGCAGCCTCTCTCCAAGCTGCTGTACCGGGCTGTCCCTAGGCTCAGGCAGACATCTCCTTCTCCCTGTCCCCTCTCCTATGCGCCCCAGAACTCTGCTATTCAGGACCCTCACTGAAAGCGCCTGCAGGTACCTCCACCCCCACAGACTCATTTGTTGGGCCATAAAAAAAATGAATAATCACTGGAAATAAAAGGGCATTAAAAATACCCCCCATGAGCAGCAAAGAGTTGTGCTTTTAGCCAATCAATTAAAAGGCAGAGCAAGGGCATTAGCTCACTGAAATATTAATTTTTAATAAGGTTGTGTCTGAGCTCCTCCAAAGACCCACTTGGCCCTGCTTGGGGGGAGGGGCTGGGCTGCCAGGGGCTGGCTGGGGCACTCAGCACCCATGGGTGAGCACCCCTGTACCCAGGGGGGAGCACCTCTGCACCCACGGGTCAGCACCCTGCAGCTTGCCAGGGTGAGCACCCTTGCTCCTACAGGTGAGCACCCCTGCACCCAGAGAACACCCCTGCACCTCACCAGGGTGAGCACCCTGCACCCAGAGGGGAGCAGCTCTGCCTGCCTGCCACAGCCCAGCAGACACAGGCACCTCTACAGCTGTGTGTGCTACCAGCCGCCCCGCAGCCCCCTTCTCACTTCACAGGCACAGGGACAGGCTTTACCCATGAGCTGGGCTCGTCCCCAGGCACGGGGGCAGTGATGGCAGCGGGGTGATACCAGCAGCTGCGCATCCAGCCCCGTGTGTCACTTGCAAAGAAATTCTGTTTCTCCCCAATGCTGTCCCCCCCCATCCCCTCCATCCTTGCTCCCACGAGCAGCAGCCCAAGCCACCACCAGAGCCTGGGCCCCTCTGAACTCTGTATTTATAATTAAAAAAAAATCATATACAAAAACATACATATACATAATATATATATAAAAAATATGGGCAGGAGCGCGTGGATGGCTGCAGGGCTCAGTGACCCTCTCTGTCCTGCGCTTCTTCCTCCTGGGCTGCTCAGTGATGCCGCCTTTGGTGGCCACATCTGTGTCCCAGGAGATGCCAGTGGCCAAGGGGCATCAGATACTGTCCGAGAGGCAGCAGGCTTGGAGCACCCCTGCACAAATTCCTCCACGCCGCTCTGTGCCTCACTTTCCTCATCTATGTCACCACATGGCCAGGCCCCATGGAAACAGGCACTTGTGGGCAGAGAACCGCCATGGGACATCCCGGTGGTGGTGGCACCCGGCTCTGGGCTCTAGGGCACCTGGATCTGCAGGTCCTCGTCCTCATCGGGGTCACTGGTACCATCCCCGCCGTCATCAGGGCCAAAGCGGGCACTGCGCATCTTGCCGAAAAGCGGGGTGCTCTGCTGCCGCCGCAGCCTGCCAGAGAGAGATGCTGGGGCAGGGGTGGTGGGGCACAGCCCTGGGGGGACACCAGAGCCTGGCCCATCCCTCTGCGCCCCTACAGCATCACTGCACCCCGGGAGGACCCCATTTCACTAAGCTCCGGGTGCAGGATCAGCCCCTCCAGCTTGAGGCTGACCCTCTGGCACAGGGCTGGGGAGCCCTGGATGATGCTCAGCACAAGCAGGGCACTAGGGCCTGACACCACCATGCTGGACATCTCAGACCCGGTGAGACTGCAGAGCAGAGTGGAGTCATCCCCCTAAAATAGGGATCCCCCCCAAAAAAACAAGAGTCTCCATTCCCAGGAGCCTGTGGTGGTTTTAGCCCCTCACTCGTCTTCACATGAAAATTTACCAACGAAAATTTATGAAGCAAATTTGAAATCAAAAGGCCCAGGACCCGGTCATATCCAACCAGTTTGCTGCGTTTTACTGGAAAGCATAAATTATTTAAGGACGAGCACATGGGGAGACTGGAGGGAGGGAAGATGAAGCCTCCATTATTCCTCCATGATTTAATGAAGATGTCCCAATAAAATAAAGGAATATTATAAACACAAGCCCCCTAGTGCCTCCCGGAGATGCGGCATCGATCTTTCATGGCCATTTCAGCTCTTTACTGCTGGAGAGGCAAAGTGAGGCCAGGGAAAGCTTGTAAGGGCAATAAAACCCACCTCCCACCTCACCAAACTTATATGGGATGCTCAGAGCCTGTCCTGCCCCTGGGTACTGGTGGATGAAACCCCAAGCTTCATGAAACTGGTCTATAATGGTCTGTGGCCAGCCTTGTGCTGGTTTAACTGGGAGGTGACTGCCATCCAGCTTGCAGTGGGCTGAAGGCTGCTCCAAGGACGGCTGCATACCCTCGGCGGATGTCGGAGGCCCTTTGGCCATGCTTAGCCCAGGTTCAACCAGAAGGCATGGTGGCAAGGAGAACATCACCCCGCCCTTGGGTCCCTGCTGATCCCCACCATGGTGCCCCCTGGTCCCCCTCTCACCGGGACTGCAGATGCTCCAGCTGCACCTGGAAGCTCTCGCTCTGCTCTGTCTGCTCATCCAGTGACCGCTGCAGCTTCCGTGTCTGGTTGTGGGCCTCATCCAGCTGCGAGATGGGAGGGGATGGGGCTGTCAGCAGCTGCAGAGGGAGTGGAGCTGCCCCCTGCCCTGTCTCCTCCACCAGCACGAGCTTCCCCACCTCATCCTCAGCTTGGGCCAGCTCCTTCTTCAGCTCCTCCACTCTCAGGCGCAGCTTCTTCACCTCACCCTCATGCTGCTCCACGCGGCGGTTGGCGTGGGCCAGCTCGGCCATCTTCTCCTGGTACTGCTTCTTCAGCTTGGTGTGGATGTGCTTCAGGTCGGCCAGCTCCTGCGGTGGGCATGGGAAGGGAGGCTGAGCGGGTGAGAGCCACCCCCACTGCGGGGTTCCCCCTTCTCCTGCCCCAGGGACCTCTCCCACCACCCCACCCCATGACAGAGATGCTGAGGGAGCAAGAATGGGGTCACTACCACCCCTCAGATGAAAGATGGTGGCAGTTTGCGCTTGAGAAAGTCCTGAGGGATGCTGAGCCATTGCTGAAGTGACAGTGTCACCCAGGGAGGGGGTGGCAAGGGATGGGATAACCCCCATGGCACCTTGTTCTTCTCAAAGAGCTCGGCCTGGATGGTCTTGAGGTCGGTGTCCAGGGCGCTGGCTGTCTGGCGTCGCTTGCGAGCCAGCACCTCCTCCAGGTCCTCGATCTGTGACCGCAGCTTCTTGTTCTCCCGCTCCAGGTTGAGCTTCTCTGTCTCCAGCCGCTCCCGCCGGCCCCACTCAGCTGCATTCTCTGCCTGCAGCCGCTCCATCTGTGACAGGGACACGGGGTGGCCGGGGGGGCAGAGGGGACCCCCCTTGCTACTCCCTTTGCCCTCCCGCATTGGGGTTCAGCCTCACCTCCGCACGCAGCTCAGCCAGCTTCTTGTCCATGCTGGAGCGAGCACCCAGCTCATCCTCCAGGTCCTCGGAGATGCGCCCCAGCTCGTCCTGGTGGATCTCCTTCAGGATGTTGAGCTGTGGGGGGAACACAGAACCCAATGTGGGCAGTGAGCACCCACCTAGTGAACCTGAACCCTGCCCACACCCATCTACCCAACTGGCTCAATAGCACTAATTAAGACCCTTAATGAGCACCCTGGGGTTGGGGAGGTGGTTGTGGGTCACCTTGTCCAACCATCAGAACATGCCACCCACTGGGGGACAGGCCATGCCCTGGGGCACTCCTGGTTGCCAAGACACCTCGCTCACCTGCTTCATCACCTCTTGCTTGTTCTTGTTGAGCTCCTCGTACTTGATCTTCCACTGGCTGAGCTCGCCCTCCAGCTTCTCAATGCTCTTGCTGAGCGCCAGCTTGTCCCTGGGCAGAGGCAACATGGGCTGGCAGGACCCCATGGGACACCCTGTCCCGCTGGGGACTGGGCTGGGCTCAGCTAGTACCCTGCAAGGATGATGCCCCGAGCACTCACTCCCGCTCCTTGAGCAGCACTTTTTGGCACTCATCCAGCCTCAGCTTCAAGGCGGTCACTTTGGTGGCATCCTCCTCCATGACGCTGACATCCTCCCAGAGCAGGCGGCTCCGTTCCTGGCGGGCAAAGGAGGCCCGGGGGCCCCGCTGCTCCCAGCTCTCATCCTGCTTGCTCGTCAAGATGTTTTCCATCAGCTCCAGCTCCTGTAGTGTTGTGGGTGGCCCGGCACAGGGGATAGGGTGAGGGGGCAGCTCTGGCTTACCACCTCCTACAGCACCCAGCCTTCACCCCATAACCAAGAGCAGCCAACCAGCAACATCCCTCCCTCCGGTCCCCAGAGACCCCCTGAGCCTGATGGAGATGAACCCATCCTCCCAGAGGAGCTCCCATACAGCACCACCCTCTGCTGCCGGCTCCCTGCTCCACTGGAAATTTGGGGTGACATAACACTGATTTATTACACCGACCTCACCGTTACCACTATCAGGGCCCACAAGCACGCAGTAAATGAGCTGCAGGGGTTTGCTGGGGATAGGGCATCCCTGGGGACCAAGCGGGGAGCCTGCAGGTTAGGTTAGTCTCAGGTTAATCTCAGATTAGACGCTCTGGTTAGTCTCAGATTTGCTGCTCGGCAGCCATGCCATCAGGAGGACTGAACCAGCACAGTGTGACATCCTGAGCAGTGACCTCTGTGTTGTGACAGAGCTGATGGCAGCAGACATGACAGCTGGAGCAGGTGGGAAGATCCCTGGAGTGGCTCTAGTGTCCCTTCCTCCTCCTCCTCTTCCTCCTCCCTTCAGCACAGACCTCTGCCAGAAGCCCGTACGGACACCCTGGCATTTGAGCCATCGCTGAGAGATGCCACTGGCACTGCTGAAGCCACTGTCCCCTGTACAAGCACACTGCCTTACCTAATGCCTCCAAAGGGAAAGCCCTGAGAAAGGGACCAGAGCCAGTGCTGAGGCAATCTCACTGCACAGGGCTAGGGGGGTGCTGGACCCCCCCGTAACACTGCTCCGAGAGGGGTATGATCCTATGATACTGCTCCGAGAGGGGTCTGACCCCCCCATGCTGCTCCAAGGGGTCTGACCCCCCCCGCTGCTGTTCCAAGAGGGGTCTGACCCCATGATACTGTTCTGAGAGGGGTCTGACCCCCCCCCCTCCACTGCTCCAAGAGGTCTGCCCCCCCCCAAGCTAATCCAAGGGAAGTCTGACCACCCTGCTCCGAGAGGAGTCTGCCTCCCAACTGCCTGCCTCTGTGGGGCAGGGAGTCACCCTGCGGGCACCCTCAGGCAGTGGTGATTTGGGGGGCACATGCAGGCAGCTGCTGAGGGTGAGGAGCCCCTCATGGCACCCTGCCTGCCCCAGGCAGTCCCTCCACCCTCACCTTGGCTTTTTGGGGTGCCTCGGTCCCCACATCCCGCACAGGCTCCTGTTCAGGGTCGGCCTCTCCCTCCGCCCCATCAGCGTCAGGGGGGCTGCCAGTGCCGGGCCGGCCGTGAAG